GAGGGAGAGTTGCTTTGACCGGCGAGAGTGCCAATGAACCTGGTTACACGTGGAAACGTGTGTAGATAGTTTCATTGAGATACGTAACGCGAGCCGGGATTGCGACGCGAATAATAAAAGGGTGGAAAATAAAAATTGCACGGAATAACGGGGAGGGGGGGGGGAGGAGGGGGAGGAGACGCCTTTGTTCTCGGATCTCTTCTCGTAACTTTTTAAAAATAGGGGGAGAGAGGGGGTTTGAAAAAGTTGAAATCGAGCCTCTCTGATTAAAGATCTCTCGAGTCGAACAAGAAAAATAGGGGAGAAAAGAAATATCGTTCGAAATTTTTCCCACGAGAACGAGTGGAAGAAGAGAAAAATCGAAATTCGGATCGGGTAAGAAGGCGGCAAGACTTGGAAGGAAGGAAGGAAGGAAGGAAGGAAGGAAAGGAAGGGAAAGCCGGCTAATGCGGAGGCTAAAGAGAAAAAGCAGCGTCGCATCTCGATAGACGTTCCGCAGGGGTGGAACATTGCGAAAGGGGGAGGAGAGAGAGAGAGAGAGAAGTACGAAGGGGAGTATTGATCCACCAGCTGCGCGTTCTCTCACCCTCCACCCCCGCTCTCTGCCCATCCTGTCGTCCCCCACTGGCCGACTCCCTCGCCCCGAATGGCTCGCCCCGTTTCACTTTGCTTCCACTCCTCTTTCTCCTTCCATCCTTCGCTCCTCGACCGCCATCGACCTATCGTTCCAGCCTCCTTCCAACCAATTCCCCCCCCTCCCCCTCCTCTTTTCCATCCTCCTCCTCCTCCTCTTAAAATTCTACAATTACAACCCGCGAAAAATATCCTTGTTCCTTTTTATCGTATCATGTTTAAACCTTCGTCGAGTCGAAGCCATTCCTCTGGACAGATGCATCGCGAAGAATCTGCTCGTCTCCGACCCTCTTCTTTCTCCCCTCGCAGGTGTACGCACCAACGTCTCTTCTTCTTCTTCTTCTTCTTCTTCTTCTTCTCTTCCTTCCACGAGCCTCTCCACCCCCCGGGGACCGCTTCTCTTAGACTCTTAGACCGCGTCCCCCTCGCGGCGATAGAACCGAATCGGAGCAACGTACGTGCGCGCACCCCTCTCGTCTCTTTTCGTCCGAGCAAATTCTGATGGAAGAGAGGATCGTGGATCGGACGATCGATCGAATTTATTATATTAGGATAGGATTTTGTATTTCGAGGTTTTTCGAGGATGGTGAAAAGGAGCGTTAAATATTCAATAATGGAATATATATATATATATGACGATTTATATAATTTTATAAATGTTGTAGTAATATAAGGATGCGTATATTGGAATGCAAAGATATCAATTGCACGCGTGATAGAAAGAAGAAGGGAGGAACAAGGGAGTAGAGGAGGGGTGAGCGATAGCTTTCGGTCCAAAGTTGGAAAAAGATCTTCAATCCCTTGTCAAAATTATAAAATATTGGAAATGTAGATGTGTATATGTAGATATTCAATACGCGTTTTTGTTTGTTGATATTGAAATTTATTATAAAATGTGGTGAAATTGGATCTTCGAATCAGGGGGTGTCTACCGGTTTTTGTAAAAAGTTTATATAAAAGTATAAGGAGATGAAATAAATTGATACGTAAACTATAAATGTTTTATTTCTCTTCTCCTTCAAATTGAATCTGAAGAATTCAAGTGTATAAAAATATTTTCTTGAATATCGAGCTAGGAATAGTTTATCTTTCATTTTGAATTTTAATTAATTGAATTGGAAAAAAAAAATCTGTTAAATTATAAAATATTGTAAAATGATTAAACTCTGAGATTCTTTTTTAATCTAAAAATATTGTTACTGATGAATATTCGGGTTCGTTGTTCTGCGATAATACACGATATATATCAATTTAGAAAATAATTACGATTTTCAATTAGAAAAGAAATTTTTATATATTTGTCTTTGTTACTCTTGTAATCTATCTATCACTCTTTTTTGGTTTCAATCGAATTTGATATTTCACAAATTAAACGATCAATGTAGATGTATAGAATTCATCGATTACTTTGAAAAAAAAATTATTATTATCTTTATTTATAATATTATTTAATCGCTTGAACAATTGATTTTGATAATTTTATAAATTAAAAAATAAAATAAAAAAACAACTAATTAATATAATTGTTTTCATAATTTATTCTTCGTTCATTCACTTTCAATGAAATTGAACAATATTCAATTCTTAAAGTGAATTTAATAAAATAGTAAAAAAAAAAATTACATATTATATAAGATATGTCGATATACGAACATCTTTGAAAGATCAATTCTAAAGACTAAGATAAACACAGAGAAGTATATAAAAATATCGATCGAGGCTTAATTTTCATTAGAGAACATGATATCATGAAGATAGAACTGTTTCAATCTATCTTTTTTTTATCGTCTTGTCTAATGCAAGCTCAAATTGTTTAAGAAATAACTTAATAACTTGAATATATAAATTTCAATATTTTTGCGTTTATTTTGACCTCTAAAATCGACCTTCCAAAAGTCTCATACGAATTTTTTTAACATTCTGTATATACATACTTTATATAATCCCAAAGTTTCAAGTTAATTTTTCGAATTTACAGGTTAATGGATTTTCCTTATTATTTGGATGCATTATTTCTTTGATAAAAGAATCACAATGACACGAGTCATTTATCTTTTTATATTCTCAGTTTTTCAATATTATCTAAAACTACATATTTTAATTTGTAACTAGTATGTTGAGATAATTTATACCAAATAATTTAAAACAATGTGAGATTATAGCACAGTTCCATTTTCTATCGATTACACCATTATAACTTTTATAACCATATTGATATATAGTTAACAACGCTTATACTGATATATACGACAATAATGATATGGTATAGAGATGCATAACAAGTGTAGACGCAAATTAAAACTTGTAATTCAATAAAAATTATGAATTAATGATAATTATATAATGAAGAGCAATGACATTATCCAATTCATCCTTTTTACACTTTAAAACCAATCGCATTTTCAAACAATTTTTATCTTTCCCACGTGAAAACTACGTTATCTATTCGAAATGTTTATCGATCGTTGGTAAAACAAACATGTCGCGCACTTTCTTATCGATCGAATTTAAACCTTTCAGGCGTGAAATAAAAGCCGCGTTTGTTGAAAGTTGTTTTTCTCCTCGAAGCAATTTTCGTTCCACAAATCGACACTCGATTTTCCGGTATTTATAATCAAACAAAAGAGATCGATCAAAGAAGATTTCACTTACCTTGAGGACTCGAGGATTTCGTAGATCGTAAAATCCTGGAGGAGACGTTATCTCGTAACGACTATGGCCGCGTATCCTGCGTAAATAAAATTCACGATTACTCGATCTCGATGATTCGAATGTAATTAATTTACAACGTGTTGATTAAACTTACTGTATTTCAATTTTGGTGAAAAAAAATCTGTGAAAGCTTATGGTAGGAATGGCTAAGAGCACGCATGCTTTCAGTACTAACAATGGTATTATCTGAAACGAAGAAAGAAAATATGATACTTGCAATCATTTGATTTTTAATGAGGATAAATTTTTTAAATATATCATGATGTTCTTTTTTTTTTTAAATAATATAACGCTATATATTTTTATAAAATATTCCCATCTACAACGCTCTTCCATTTTACATTAATTCTTTTAAATCAATATTTTTCGATCCTTTTCGTACTGCAATTATTTTTTCCTATAATTCAAATAACTTATAACAATTCATACATTTCCCTCTCTAAATAAGCTAAGAAAAATTGATCAAGTCAATGTTTTTGGTTTTATCAAAACGATTATTCGTTCATATATCCCCCGCAGTAATATCATATTATGTTAAAATAAATATTGAATTAATTGAAAATGGCTAATGACTCGAGTAATTACTATTTTCAATACCTTCTTCCATCGAAATAATGAAATTACTAATGAAATTTCACAGACAAGAGATGCTAGCGCGTGCCAAACAAAAATGTGTGCGAGGAGTCTGATTTGAAACATTGCAACGCGTTTGAAGTATGTTGAAACGTAAATTCACGTAATGCCGCGCGATGCATAGCACAAGCGTGGTGAAAAGGAAACGCGAAAGCGCTCGGTCAGAGCAAGTTCGCTCGCGGATACAATGAAAATCCACTTGCACTGGAAAGCGTTTTTCCACCCGCTCTCTCTCTCTACCCTAATAATTAAAATCTCACTTGTTTTTAATTACACACAGTGATATCGAGTTTCGTTTACGATTTCCATTCGTTTCACGCTATTGTAACAAAATTTAATCGTCTGCGAGATCAAATGAGCTTCGTGAAAATTTCGCTTTTGCCTAAAAATTATAATTAATAATTGAACGTATCCTTCTTTATCTTTTTACATAAAAGTATAGCGAGTCATTGGTTATTCGTACTCTCGAGCATCAACGAATCAATCTCCCCTAAGATAATTCATAATTCATTTTTACTTTAACAAAAGATTAATAATTTTTTTTTCTTTTCGATTAATTTAATAAAAATAATGTGATTCCATTTTAATAGATAAACTCGATCTCCGTGTACAACTTGGAAAAAGAAAAAAAATGTATTATCATATTATATCGATATTTTTCTCATAAAACGAATAATTTATTCGAATTATTTAAAGTAGTCGTATTACGAGGTTCTTATATATAATACAAATAAGAATTATCCAGTTTTCAAACAATGAGAGCAAAAGAGGAAAATTTTGACGATAAATCCTCTTCTTCTCTCTCTCTCTCTCTCTCTCTCTCCCCCTCCCCCCCTCTCCCCTTTTTCGTCGAAATAACAAATTATGGATATGAAATTATGGACGTATCCAAGAAAAAGTAATTTAGATTGTAAAGACAAGTGAATAACGAACCTCTGTCTATCCCAACAAATTATTATTTAATCATATTTAATCACCTAGGAAGAATGCCTAATCAATGGACAAATCGATGTATGTTTCAGCGCCGGCATGGAGGCGGCGAACGGTGCGATCGAGCACGACTTTCACAATGCTCTGGTGCCTATAAACGGTAGCCATTCCGGCAGCTCCGGGAGGAGTACACCGAATGGCGGCGACCCAGCACCCGGCAAACTGTTCGTGGGTGGCTTGTCCTGGCAGACCAGTAGCGAGAAACTCAGGGAGTACTTCGGCATGTTCGGTACCGTCACCGATGTCCTGATCATGAAGGATCCGGTTACACAGGTCGGTTTACTCGATGGAAGCTCTCCGTCGGCTTGTCCATCTCGATCGGTGGCCCGTTTCGCCGGTTCTTAACTCGAACGATGATTATAAAAGTTCTTTTTCACTTCTGGGGAAAGCGTTCGTATCCTTTCTCAAAAAATATAAAGGGAGATGTGCTCGCGGACAGGCCACCGAAAATCGTTGAAATTTTTTTGTCCATTTCCTCCTCGATAGGTCAAATCGTTCGCATCGGCGTTATCGGCCGAGCCGAAGGGAAAAATTCGGGATCGGGGATGGGATGGGAGGGCGTAAGAAAAAGGAAAAAAAAAAAGAAAAGAAAGAAAAGAGAAAAAAGAAAAGAAAAAAAAAAGAAAAAAGAGAAAAAGAAAAGAAAGATCGAAACGCAATTCGCCTCGAGGAGATTCGATGCACCAGTTTCTTCCTTCCACTTTTGCACGAGACTTCACACAGTAGATCGTAGAGAGAAAGTTGTACTAATCGATGTAACTAATTGCTGAGACAGTGTAAAGGAAGTAGAAGCGTATTTTTGGTATTTTATTGTATTAAAACATGTATTTAAAACGTAAAAGGTGGAAAAGAGGCAGAGGCTCGTTTACTAAAAAAAAAAAAAAAAGAAAAAAAAAAGAAAAGAAAAAAAAAAAGAAATACGTTCGCATATTCGGGATTCGAAAGAGATCACGAACGAGGACTGTGGGCATAATAGATTATTATCGTATTCGGTAGCGATGCAATTAACTCGACCGTAACTTCAGTTGAATCTTATATTTATTCGAAGTCCTTGTCTCACGTAATCCTAGAATGTTTGTCTTACATTGGCTTGGACAGTCTTGCATGTAAACGGTAGTTTGGTAGTATTTAGTTAACTGTACATAAAAGGAGATTTTATATGGTACCTATATTTTACATACAGAGTACGATATCGAGATAAACGAGACAGGATACGTTTTTTTTTTTTAATTTTTTTTTTTTTATAATATATATATTTATTCACATATATATATATATACATATAAAGAGAACGCGACGGTAAATGAAAAATGCTCGTTCGGAGAGCAAAGCTGCAGAAAAAAAACGCAAAACAAAAAGATGATCGCGTGCGTTTTAAACCGATTAACCTGCTCGCTACGTCCTTCGAGTCACCGTTGATCGATGTCAATAACTTTCGAAGCAGCGAACAGGTTAATAATTGTCAAATCACCGGATACCACGATGATGATCAATTATTAGACAGGTTATCGGAAAGCTTAAAAAAAAAAAAAAAAAAGGAACAATCGTTATATAAGGAAACGGCGTAAGCGTGCGAAAACGAGACTGCACGAGGCGAACTGGCGAA